TCCCAGCTAGACAGACTGAGAATCCCTTAGGCCACCTGTCTGTAACCAAGTCCCTGTAGAACCCATCACAGTCCAATTCCCTGCATGAGTAAAAGTGTGAGACAGAAGAAAGAGAACTGAATTTGGTGTCAGAGAACCAGGGTTCCAATCTCAGCTCTGGTACTGCTTTATGTGACCTTTGATAAGTCACTTATCTATAGGATTCAATTTTCTCCCCTCTAAAATGAAGTTGTACTAGGTATCCTTTAAGGTATACACCGGCTCTAAATCCTACAAAATAATCTTAATCAGTAGTTCTCAGTTTTTTTGGTTGTTTTTGGGTTGACAGTACTCTTAGCCATAATGAATCACAGCACACTGAACATTTAAGTTGGCAACAAAGAAGAGTTCCCTGATAGCTGAGCTTGAAGACCCATACCTGAGTCTTAGGATTCTTCTACTTCTCCTTCCCTTCCTCCATTTCCTTACTCTCTAGTTTCTTTACCTCCTGGGGACTCAAAGAGGAGGAAATAGCTTTCCACCTCCATGGATAGATTTAATATTGTGACCTTTCCCAAGACAATCTGGGAAGAACAGGCAGCACACTGCAGCTGGGGGTAGAAGCTGGAGATTTTGTGGCACAAAGCTCATGGACCGTTAATATGACACAGGCACTCCCTTTGAGAGCCATGATGGATGTCATGAGACCAATTCAAATATGATCTCTAAGAGAGGTCAAGCAGAAGAACAGATGTTAGAGGTCTCCTGAAAGGAGGAGTAAAGGAAAGAGAAGGGAATGCTAACCACACTGACACTGTATGCAGATATATGCAAATCAATATACAAACAAGGTATTAGTGACAAATCAATGGCTTTATTATTTGGTGGTAACTGGATCCCAACCCTGGAAGCCTAAGCCTTCCTTCATACCATCCTTTCTCCCATTTACGGCCGAATGACCAACATCTTATTCCCTTTTTCCCCCAAAATGCCTCAAGCAGTAGTTCAGTCCACCAAGGTCTCCCTTCTCTCTCCAGGTCACACAGGGGACACAGGGGGTACCCCAGAACTTAGTCAATACTAATTTAATTCCCAGTGGTGGTGGCACAGGCTAGAGCTGCTTCTGGTTGGCTATCTGGGGTAGGAACCAAATGCTTTCGATGCTTCTGGCTCGAGATGTAAAAATCTCCATCGGCTGCCCTTATTCCCATGTTCTCAGATACCGCCATCCCAAACATTTGATAGTAGAACAGATTTCGTTCCATGCTTGTCATTGCCTAAGGGAGTGATGGGGATGGACCTACATTAGGAAATATCACAACAGCCCCCCCACCCCTTATCTCTATCTTCAGAGGTCGGAGCCAAGCAGGGGAGCCCTGAGATGGTCAAGGATTGTGGATGTGGGGCTGGAAGAGACCTAACGAGAAGTCTCTCATTTTGCAGCAGAAGGCACAACACCAAGAGGAGAAGAATGACCAAGGTCACACAGGACCAGTCCTCAGACTCCAGATTCAATGTTCTTCCCATTGTACCATACTGGGTCTTCAAGGAAGCCCTGGGAGATGAACAGAACCTTCTGGGAAACTGAATTTCTGTTCTTTGTTCTCTTCCTAGAAAGGCCCTCTCCTTGCCCTCTTTTGCTTATCTTCACGAACTGGGTCCCAAGCAAAATTTGCAGAATAAGCTTCTTACTTGGGAAGAGCCTTGCTCTTATCCTGAGTGTATTAATCTGGGATTCTCTCATCACCCCCAGGTTCCTAAAGAGTTGGTGTTTGAACTGAGATGGAGCAGCTGACCTCTTCAGTCACTGAGGGCAGAACAAAGAGAAGAATGAGAAGATAGACTGGGGCAACAAGGAGAGTAGACAATGAACATCAAGAAAGTTGTCGAGGACAAGCCCAGCACAAGCAACATGCATGCCCAAAAGGGATCATTTCATCTTTCTCTCTCCTGTCTTTGGAAATAGAGAGAGAGACAGGGAGAGACAGAGAGAGAGGGAAGGAGGGAAGGAAGGAGGGAAGAAGGGAAGGAAGGAAAAGAGGGAGGGAAAAGGAAGAAAGAATGAAAGAAAGAAAGAGGAGGAAGGAAAGGAGGGAGGAAGAGAAAGAGGGAATGAGGAAGGAAGGGAGGAAAGGAGGGATGGAAAAAGGAAGAAAGAATGAAAGAAGAGGGAGGAAAGAAGGGAAGAAGAATGGGAGGGAGGGAGGAAGGAAGGAAGGGATGGAGGGAGAGAGGGAGGGAGGAAGGAAGGAAAGAAGGAAGGAAAGTGGAAAAAGATTGAGGAAAGTCCTGCCAAGACAATGGACTAGATTCAAACTCTATTCAAGCAAACATTTATAAGCATCTACCGAGAGCAGGTGCTGGGCACATTGTTGTGGATTGTTCTTCCTTCTTGAAGAGGACCATGACCTCAAGAAGGTGATGCCATGACTTGCAAGTGAATTGGATTTAAGAGAGTGAGAGCTGTGCAAGGTCACCAGCCTCACTTTATCCTCTGGAGCCATCTGGGTCCAGTGGTGAGATATAGATCTGGAACACTGGAGATGGTCCCCTGAGGGGCACATACACAAAGAGGAAAAAGGGAATGGTCGCTTACAAAGTTCAGGGGTGGAGGTGGGAGAATGTAGGGTGTGGAGAGGAAGGAAAGGAGAGAGAAGGGAGATACACATATAGAGTACTAATGATGAATGACAATAAAGGAAAAGGAAAGATCCAGACAAAGTGTTCTTGGAAAATTTGAGATAGGAGAGATCACATCTGGCTGGCTGCTGGCCAGTAGGTGAGAAAAAGGAAAGGCCTGCAGGAGAGAGTAGGATCAGATCCGAGAGCTGGAATAGAAGGGGACTCAGCCTTCTACTCCAACGCTCTCATTTTACAGAGGAGGAAACCTCGGCTTGTCCAAGGCCACACGGTAAGTAGCTGAGCTGAGACTCAAACCCCAAACCTCCGACTTCCAATCCAGCGCTCTCCCCATTAAAGCCACAATTGCACCTTGAAGGAAATTCCTTGTGTGGGGGTGGGAGTCTGAGTGCTGAGGAACTGGAAGAGTGGGAATGAGCTTCTTTCGCTATGAGACCAGACCTTCCCTCCCGTCCTTGGGGAGACAACAGTATGTTCTAATTGTTAATGATATTAGTAATATCAACAACAAGGCTTTCGCATGCTTCCAGTTGGCATGCACTCAAAAGTCAGGATTTCTGGAAAGGAAGGTTTGCTATATTGGAGGGTGTTTTCCCTATAATCAAGTCCTGAGCCCATGGGGCCTATCGTGTGTGTAATGTGCTAAGATCAGAATCATCTGAGCAATACAAAGATCTGCTAGTAGTCATTGCTAATCACAGAGCCATCACTTATGTGCCTTAAGTTCCCACTGGGGTTGATTTTACAAGGGATTCAAAGCCTTGCCTTTTTGGAGCAAAGGGTACAGTCTTTGGTGACAGGGAACTCATCAGAGGAAAGAGCAGGAGGTTGTCTGGCATTGAAGTACCAGATGACCTCCAGGGAAGACATCAGGGGATGAGGAGTCACCCTGACTTCTGCTCCCAGCTCTGCCACTGACTGGCTGTGTGGCTGTGGCTAAGTCACTTCATCCCCTCCGAGTCTGGATTTTCTCTTCTATGACATAGGAATAAAACCCTTCCTACCTCACTGGGTTAGTGTGAAGACAGAATGAGATAACATACATGAAAGCATTTGGTCAAGCCAGGCCATGGGAAGTGCCTTGAGGGTAGGACTCACCTCCTAGTTACCTCTGAATCCAGTCCAGTGTCTTGCATCTGGAGGCACTTAATAAATATTGGTTAAATGACTAAAATTGTAAGAGCTGTTCAAATGCAAAAGAGAAACAAACTTTTCTCCACTACCTTCTTCTCCTGCCCAGAAAGGAGGGGACCCTGAATTGCCAGGGCAGGCTCTGCCTGCAGACTGCCAAACAGCAGTCCTCCTGCCTATCTAGGAGCCAGCAGGTACCAGAAATGCCCAAGGCTCCAGAGAGAAAGGGAAGCTTGCTTTGTGGGTATCCTGGCACGGCCACTACCTGGCACTTATCCAGGTTGCTCCCTGGCACGAGGTGGCACAGGCAGTGCTGGGGAACGATATCATGTCCTGGCATCCATGGGCACTGAGCTCTGATGTGAACTTGGGCACCAGCAATAAGGACCGACACTGCCCGGGCAATAGCACTACCCAGGCACCAACAGGAATCCTGCTTCCTACCCTGTTCCACGGACTAAGGCTCAGAATGTTTTTTCAACAGAACAAGGAACATTAAGACAGAACATAAACAGTTCCCTCCCTGATGCCCACAACAAATAGCATGTGAGTGGGCGATGGACAGAGGGAACCAGGTCCCTTAGGTACCACAACACAACCCCAAAGGCAGATCCATTTTCCTGGACCAGTAATCCTGCCCTCACCTCTCCATCTTTCTCTGGCTCCCTAGGGGCTTGTAGAAAAAGGCGTATCAATCCCCAAGATTCTACAGCCCTAGCTTCTTTCTTGCTCCTGCCTCATTTCAATTGTATGGTTCCCATGGCTCTGGGCTCAAGCATTAGCTGACATTTCCCCATGACATATCCCTAGTCCCCCAGCCCAACATCCAGAACAGAAATGGAACTTAGCCTTGGGCCTCTTGGACCATGTTGGGAAAACAGGCAGAGATCCCCTCTCTGGCATGCCCAGCTGATGGGATTATGCTCATATGCCCACCAATTTCCCTGTCTAGCAGCACTTGGCTGAGTCTGAGCCTTGCCTTCTTGCCTATCCTATTCCTACCCACCAACCCAAGAGTACACTGAGGAGCAGAAGGACAGAAGGCATGATGCCCAGCCAAAATACGCCTGGAGTCTTCTCCATTTTTGAGGGTAAGATCCCACTTGTTCCTCTGTTTCTTCAGATGTGTCGGGAAGGAAAGGTGGGGGCACATTCCACACGGCCAGTGGCGACTGATGTCATCCAGGGCTACCCAGACATGGGGGTGGAGAAGGGAGGGCTGGTTACCTTCAGGCAGGTTACCTACTGACCTGAGCGGGATCTTGACGCGGAGGTAGCGATCAACAGCTATGGCAAGCAAGGCCAGGATGGAGCTCTGGGTGAGGATGAGGACAGGACAGGCCACCATGAGGCAGGTGTAGAAATGGGTCTGGGGACCAATGTTGATAAGGATGGCGAGAGGGATGACCAGGGCACCCACGGCCACATCGGCCACAGCCAGCGACACAATGAAGCAGAAGGTGGCATCACGAAGAGCCTGGTTCACCTTCACTGCCCAGATCACCAGCACGTTCCCAGGCACTGACACCAGGGCGATGAGCACCTCGATGCCAATGTAAGCGGCCTGGAAGGCCGATATGGAGTGTGGCATGGTGGGCACAGGGCAGGAACATCAGCCAGCAGGCACTGGTGGGCACACAGCAGGCACCTGCGGGCATGGGAGCCAAGGAGGTGAGCCCCCTGCGGGGGAAAAACAGCCCAGGCAAGGAAGCAGTCCTGGCACTCCCTGGAGGCATACCCTACTTGGAGCCCCTTGGCACACTATGTGCCCCACACCCTTAGCCAAAGGGGGGAGGGTAGCCCCAGCCCTCTCCTTGACAAATCTCTGCCCCTGTCCCTTATCATTCCCACAGACTCCATTCAGCAACTTAAAAATAGCTCTGCTCACCCCCCTTCCACCCTTCCACTCCCTTTATCAGGTGTGACCCACCCAGCCCCCTCCGCAACACACCCCAGGGATCCCACCCAACACCCACAGCCACTGTCCCGCCGATGCCCAGCAGGCAAGGGGCTCACCATCCTGCCAGCTGGCCAGCAGGTGGTCCCAGAGGTGGGTCACCGGGGGGCCTGGACCACAGGTCCCGGCCAGGGCTCAGGGGCAGCCCGAAGCTGGGCTGGGCTGCGGGCACGGGGCGGCTGCGAGCCGCAGCTCATCCTCCTCCGAACTCCTCTGCTGCAGCGCCAGCGCTCAGCCTTTCAAGCAATCACATGGTGCGGTAGCAGCCCTGGAAGCTTTAAAGAGATATGCCCCTGTTTTTGCACCTGGAACGGGGTGGGAGTCACGGGTGAGGACCCTGGCCAGGAGAGGAACCAGGAGCCAAACCACCCCTGCCCCATCATGCACACAGCATCCACCCTCAGTTTGAGTGCTTCTAGTGCTTGGATCTCAGGCAGTCCCCCTAGACCCCAGCCTCCAGACTGTCAGGACCCCTTGCCCACTGCCTGCGCCATTCTAAGGGGACAGGTTTCTATTCATCCAGGGTGTATTGGTCTCTAACTCCCACATTCAATGTCCAAGACAAGTGCTTATGAGCCCGAGCGAAAACCAAGACACAAGACTTACCCAAGGTGACCCAAGCAGGCACCAGCTGGACAACGAACCCAGGCACCTGAGCTGCCCAGCCTCAATATCCCCCAGCTCAGAATCCTCTGTCCCCCCTAATTCTCATCAGAGTGGCACCCCCGGAAAGCACAAGTCTTCAAGTCTGCTAGTGCCCTGGGAGTGCCCTGGTTTGGGTCTCTGGAAGAGCTCCGACACACCTCGGAACCCGCCCAGAAGGAGGGGACAATGTGACAGTTCCAACCTGCAAACTGGTGAGCCCCTCCCTCCTGGCTCTGGTTGTCTTCTCTCTTCCCCCCCCCCCCACCGCCTTTTCCACCTCCCCTCTCCTTTCCCGCTCTACCTCCTCCTGCTTTCTGAACAAAGGAAATGAATATGGGTGAGAAAAGCTACAAAAACGGGGACTATTTGAAGGGTCTGGTATCTGGATCCAGGCATCCAGCCTCAATTTGGGAAACACCATTCCTCCTCCCCAGTCCCCGCTCTCCCCCGCCCCGCACAGATTCTATCGGCCCAGACCAGACTTGTGGGGTTCCTGCTTCACCCTCCTCCCCCATCTCAGCATCCCGCTTGCAGGATTCCAGCATCCCACCCACCCTATCGTCTGCTGATGCGGATCAGTCACATAGGGAACCATCCCATGCTCATCTCTGCCATCTGGCACGGGGCACCACACTAATATCTTTCAAATACCAGCGTCTCCTGTGGGTACTTGGGCGCTTCGGGAGTATCATCCACATACTCAGTATAGTGCTCTCCCTTGACACACCAAAACACACAGGACACACTTCTTTTTCATTGCTGGATTATTCCCACTCCCAGGCACAAAGGCACCCGGTCTCTCCCTTCAGCTTTTAGGCTACTTGTCCCCACCAACTGCCTGAAGGGATTTCAATTCAGGTCATCAGAAGCCAAGCTTAGAAAGGGGCCAGTGCAAACCTCAGGCTAAATGCCAGGATGCAGGGGACCCCAACCCTACCCTCACCTCCACCCACCACAGAAATCCTCCTTCTGAGAACTGAGGGTAGGCACAAGGATCCAGCACAGGATATATTGCAGCCATGACCCACCAGTGTGGGGCCCTCCTCTGAAAGGAGGGGGAAGATCAGAAGATGATCAGAGGGTGATGGGAACATCTTGCACTGTCAAGGGTAATCGATGGAGAGAACTTTATGGCTTTCCTCTTCCCCCCTCCACTCTGAAGATCATTTCCCATTCAGCCCCTACCCCCAACCCCAGACCCTTGCTCAAAGACAGCCCACTTGCCAGAAAAAAAAAATAAGCAAACAAACCTTATCCCCTATCCTGAATGACAGCTCCAATTTAATTCAACAAATATTTATTAAGTGCCTACTACATCCAAAACACTGTGCTAGGAACTGAGGTAGATACCGAGTTTACATCAGACAAGGTTCTTGTCCTCATGGAGCTTTTTACAGTAAGCTCCAAACATTATATGACTTCTTCAATTCTGATTTCTACCCAATAACTTTCTGCATCATTGTTCTAACGGAAAGAACATTGAACTTACTAGAATCAAAATGTGTTATTTCAAGTGCTGGCTTGGCCACTTAATGGCCGTGTGACCCGCCAGGCAAGAGTTAGGGAACTTGATCATCGTCCCCAAGTATTTTACTCCTTCGTGGGGGGAGAGAGATTAGTCTTTTTCTGCTGACTCCAAAGGACAGAATTAGGAACAAATTTGGGGGAAGTTACAGAGAGGGAGTTTGGGGTTTGAAATATGGCAAAACATTCTAACAATTAGAGTCATTCCCAAATGGAATGGGCTACCTTGCAAGATAGCAGACTCCCCATTACTTGATGTCTTCACACAGAAGCTGGATATCCACTGGTCACGGATGTTTGTGGAGGGGAATTCTGTTCAGGTCTAACTTGGACTAGATGATCTCTGAGGGCCCTTGCAACACTGCAGTTCTGAGATTTTGAGTTCTCACTATTACCTGGCGTAGGAGAATCACAGAATCCTAAACAAGTCAAACAAGGAAGAGTGGGGGATGGTGACCTAGAGATGTAGAGTTCATCTTGTTTATCCTCCCACCTCCAAAAAGGCTTGTCCCACCTTGGACCCTTTCCATCTTTCTCTGCAGCCTCCATCTCCCTGAGACTCTAAGCCCTTGGATGCAGTGGGAAAAGCGCTGGAATTGGAGTCAGAAATCTTGGGTTCAAATGCCAACTTTGCCAACATGCTACCTTTGTGACCTTTTAATAACTTAAAGAAACTTTTCCAGGGCCTATTTGTTAAATGAGGGAATTGGAAGATCACTAAAGTCCCTTCCAGATGTAAATGTATAGTATAAACCGGTGACCTCCTTTTACCTGCCAGGTAATGGGGTCAACAACAACCCCCAAAGACAGCAAGTCTGCGTGTTTATGGGTTTTTTTAGTAAAATAACACGTAAAGGTCCAGATCAAACTGGGAGGAAGGAATGGTTTAGCAATGTCCTTCCCTAGTCTGGCCCATTGAGGCCCTAAAGTGATCAAATGACCTTGATGACCCACAACCATGGATCTGATAGAAATTCTTGAATCCATCCTCTCTTATATTTCCCCTACCCCACCCAAACAGACAGAGCTTTCACAGAAACAATAAGTTGTAGTTACTTCAGGTATGCAGCTTCCTTTCTCCTCTCCATCCAAACCTACTGCCTAAAAAAATCATCCATTTCAATTTGCAGGTGATTTTCAGGTTGTTCATTTTAGATTAAAATAGACTGAAACTCCTGCTGTTGCCTGTCACCACCATCACCAGCCACCCCATGTCTGACTGGGAGGGCCCTGCTGAGAAAGAGAATTGGACGAATTCCATTTGGTGAAGAGTTTCTCTGGACTCCTCCGAAACTGAGACACTTCCCAAGCAACAGGACACGCTAAGATCTGAGTTTCAACTGGGGAAGGGAAGAGCACAGTAGGGGAGTCAATAGGGGTTCTGGAAGGGGGTTGGGTCAAGGACTAATTCAATTCAACAAATATTTATTAAGCAATTATTAAGTGTCAGATACTATCCTAGGTACTGGGGATACAAAAAAAAAAAACAAAAACAAAAACAAAACCAAAAACAGAACAAAAAACCAGTCCCTGTTTTCAAGAGTCATGGATGTAACTGGAAGGGAAGTCAGAAGCCATCTGTGTATACACAGTATATACAAAGAATGCACAAAGTATATACACAGCAATGGGTTCTAAGAACTTGCCCCAGATATAACAACTTCCTAGTTCTCCCAGGCCCCCAGGAGACAGTCCCATCTGAACTCAACTTCCTTCCCACCCTCTTCCTAGGGCTGAGTCTTTCATCCTTCTCAGGGGCCCCCTCCGTCCTAAGCATCTCTTTACTATCTACACTCCTCTATCCTCATTTTCCTCACCTCCTTCTCTCATCATTCTTTTTTCCCCTCCTTTTCTCTCCCTCTCCCTCTCCTGTTTAATTTCATAATGAAGAGAAATGCTTTCAGCGTTTGGTCCTATTCTCCCTTTATTTATTCCCTCACAAAGGTCCCATTCTGAGTTTTTTTTTTTTCCTGCCTTCCCTTGGGTGCAGCAGACATCTTAAACTCAACATGTCTGAAACCAAGTTCATGATCTTTCCCCCTAAACCTCCTCCTCCTCTTTCTTTCCTTATTACTATAGAGGGCAATACTATCCTCCCAGTCCTGGCAACCAAGAAGTCATCCCGGACTTCTCACCATCTCTCACCCCTCCAGAGCCAAGCTGGTGCCAAAGCCTGTTGAATTCACCTTTGCAACATCTTCTCTCCTCTAACACTGCCCCCAGCCTTACAAGCTCTCATCCCATCACACCTAGATTATCGCAAGAGCTGCTGGTGGGTCTGCCTGCTTCATGCCTCTCTTCATTCCAATCCTTTCTCCATTCAGCCACTAAAGTGATTTTACTAAAGCACAGGTCTGACCACGTTAGCCATGTACAAACACACTTAATAAACTCCAGTGACTCCTTATCACCACCAGGAGAAAATGCACAAGGCTCTGTTTGGCATTCAAAGCCCTTCATAACCTAGTCCCCTCCTACCTTTCCGGTCTTGTCACACCTTCCTCCCCAACATATCCTCTTTGATCCAGTGACACTAGCCTCCTTGTTACTGCACAAACATGACACTCCATCTCTTCTGCTCTGGGCATTTCCTCTGGCCCCCATCCCTGTTCCCCATCTCTGTCCCCCATCCCTGGAACACTCTCTCTCTTCATCTCTGCCTAGTGCCTTCCCTGCCTTCCTTCAAGTCATAACTCAAATCCCTTCTTCTACAGGAAGCCTTTCTCCACCTCTCTTCATTCTAATGCCTTCCTTCTTAATTCTTTTTTATTTGAATATAGCATATTTGTTTGCTCTGCTATCTCCTCCGTCAGATTGTCAGCTCCTTGAAGTCAGGTACTGTCTTTTGCCTCTTTTTGTATCCTCAGAGTTCGGCACATAGCAGGCACTTAATAAATATTTGTTAGCTAACTAACTTACTATTGTGGACTCAGTAGAATTTCTGGACTCCGCTGGGCATGTTTGGTATGTCTATTGTTGTTGTTGTTCAGTCATGTTCTACTCTTTG